CTTGGCCTTAAAACAAAGATGCAACAAAAGCAATGAGGAAGGGGACAACCTCCACTTTGTAATGACAGTTTTTCAGTGGCTTGAGCACAGTGGAATAGTATCACACTTAGGTGCCCAGCCAGTACAGTAGGATCTTGCTAAAATAAACAACTTTCTTGCTTCACACCGATTCTTGAAATGTGAGAAAGAGCTGCTTTCCTGAGCCCAGCTAGGAATAAATCTATTCCAAATAAAGTTTCTTAACTCCTGAGAGAGTCTGCTGCAAGCAGCTTTCAACAATACTTTCCTTCAGGGAACTTCATTAGTGATAAAATTAGTTCTGACATTCAACATACCACAGAACACGTTACTTACCTGGTGATTTATTGCATATGCAGCCTTGTACCATCTTTACATTTTACTCTTTGCTTTGAACTGCTCTGGTTGAATGTCTGTAAGATGTTTAGTAAAATGAAACTTCAATGCAGCTAACATTTGCCCCCAAAGAAGAGATAAGGTACATTACATATGTCAATTTTACATTGAAATTGTGCCGGGCTTCTTGCTCTTGACACTAAAACAGAATTGTTTAAAGGAAATAGTGTCATGTACTGGAATGCAGATGACCTAAAAGAAAAGAACTTGACATTCTAAAATTTTAATAGCGTGAATTATACACCCTATAAATTGATTTGTGTCTTCTTTTACTTGTCAACCAAAGTGTGCAGATTGCAATTCGTACACAGCCAATTGGAATTAATTGACTGTACTCGAATTAAATGGATTATAGCAGCATGTAGGACCTGCATTATTTGATCTCAAGTCTATAAAACTATTTTCACACTTGTACAAAGGGCTAATGCACCTTAAATAGAACTTGAGGACTTAAATATTTGCTAAATTGGAAGGATGAGAGCATCCCACCAGCTCCTGTTTGTTGTGTTGGTGAAGTAGTGGAGTAATTTTATTCATTGTAAGAACATGTTATGAAAGATTAATTTAATGGCTTAGTTAGCAGATGTGGAAGACAGCTGAAGTGCATTTGGCTCTTTTTGATTCTCTGAATTGGGCATCTTCACTACTTGATTAAGATCAAAGTAATCTTTTTTCATTTTGCCAGTATTTGTTTAGATGAAATATCAGCAATTTAAATGCATTCAACTCTCTGCTCTTGAATGCTCCAAATTTAATTTCAGCTATAGATGACTTCTTTTAGTCCCAAATTTGATCCCAGGGAATTGGCATTTCTTAATTTCATGGTAGGGACACTAATCTTGGTGCCAGTAAAATAAGATCTGAAAATGACATGATGACCCTAATTCCAGACTTTTCCCCTCAGTTATACCACTGCCTGGGAAATGGACACATCTGTTTCTATTTTTCTTTCTGCTGAAAGACAGTTAAGAGCAAGAATTTGGAGTTTAAAACAGATTGTTGATAATTTCCTTTAAAGGGATGAGGTAAATTTTTCGTGTTCCATTTTTCCTTTCTAGACTTTCACAAAAGATGCTCTGTTCTGTTCCCTCGTTTGTTCTATAGGAAAAGAAATAACAGATTTTTATATTCAAAACTATGGAAAACTGATTTGTCTGGAGATCAGAAATGAGTTTTAATGATTTCTCTTTTATAAAAGGAACTTTCTGCAGCACTGAAATCTGCTCTGTCAGGACACTTGGAAACTGTGATTTTGGGCCTGTTGAAGACACCAGCTCAGTATGATGCTTCTGAACTGAAAGGTGCCATGAAGGTAAACAAGCTTTAAAGTTAAGCTGCAAATCTGATGATATTTCTTGGGATAAGAGTTTGAGTCTATACCAAATTCTGCAGTTCTCAGCTGTGCACACTGGTTTTTGAGTACCCAACTTGTGGTATCAGAAGTCATGAGTTTAACTATCTAACTTGTGAATATGATTTTTTTTGTTACTTTTTCTAAATAACTCTAAAGAATGACTCTGCATGACCTCAGTTGCAGAACTCCCAGCCCTGGCTGGGCATGGTGCACCGCTGCTTCACATGCAAATTAAAGCTGGCTGGAGCTTTTTATAGTGTGATAGCTACTTTGTATGTGTAGCTAGTCTCAAGGTAATTGTGCAGTTAAACAATTAATTGCACAATAGCTGCAACAGTAGAGAGGGTCAAAGTCATATAGTTGAGCCTGAGAGAATGCCTCATACCTACTGTTCTGTGTCTATATAACTTGAACAAAAACAGGACAGATTTTCAAAAGATACTCTTGGTCAGCTTAATTTTTCGTCACTGTGTTATTTTTATAAGAGTGTACAAATGGAGAGGTTGTAGTAAAGTTTGTAGCAACAAACTAAATCAATTATTTGGCATTCCATATGAAAATTAAGACGCAGAGAACAACAAAACCAATTGCTAAATTGAAGTAAGGTTTTTGAACAATCAGATGTTGCCCTCTGCTGGTTTAAGCAGAAGCTGCCTGTAAATTACTGCAAATCAAGAAGAAAATTGTTTTTCATTCTTTTTCCTTATGCATTATATGAATGTAACCATGGGCAGTTATTTTCTCAGCCATAGAAACATAGAGAAGTTGGGGTGGAAGGGACTTCCAGAGGTCATCTAGTCCATCCCCCTACATGAGGCAGGATCATCTCTATGCAAACAATCCCATACAACCCATAATTTAAACTCCACGTAAGACTACTGTCACCCCTGGCACAACACAATCCTAACACCCTAATCTGCCACAGGTAAAGCAGGGGAATCATGGCAGTCAGTGTCCTGCTTCTATGAAATATTGTCTATATAAGTTCAAGGGATTCTGGGTAGTGGGCCATGCCTCCCGCTACAGAAGCAACCCCTCCCCCACAGTTTTACCATATCTGACCATGGGGTAAAATCCTTCCTGACCCCAAATAGGGCAAATCAGTCTGACCCCAAGCAGAAGGGCAGGACCCTCTAGTCAGGAACCTTTGGCTTTGGTCCCAGCACGAACCTTGGCGCATCCCAGTCAAAGTCTCCAGCCGTGGCTGTAGCCCAGTGCCTCTGAGGGAGTTTAAAAACACCCTGACATACGTAGCAGGAAGGCAGGGGCAGGGGCAACCAGCAAAGCCCAGAAGACTGGAAAATAGCCATAGCAGAACATAGGCATAGCTATGCCTAGATCATCTCTGACCAGCGGCTGTCCAACTTCTTTTGAACACCTGCAGTGATGGAGAGTCCACAGCTTCCCTAGGCAGTCTGTTCCACTGCCTCGCTATTCAAGCAGTGAACAGGTTGTTTCATAGTGATAGGCAGAACACCAGGTGGGGAAGCCTATCAAGAACCTTTTCCAGTGTGGTAGAACAGCTTTGCTTTTGCTTTGGAGGTGGGGCAGGGTATTATGTTTTCTTTATAACCACATGTGATGATATCTTCCATTGATCCAAAGGCTGATATTATGAGTCTGTCAGATTTTTCAGCTGTTTATACTTGAGTTTAGTTTGGAATAACTTTTTATGTAGTGGCTATTAAGGCATGTCCTGGCTTAAATGAGGAAAGAAAAATTCCTACGACGAGTTAATGATTACTCTGATGTGTAACACCAAGGAAAAAGCACAGAAGAGAGCATAAGAACAATTTTTCATGTAAAAACAGCTATAAAGAATTAATAACCATATCTTGGTCTAATAAATTATGTTGTTTAAAGTGAATATATGTAGTTTGGGACATTGCTAGCTTGTCAACAAGGTCCCCTCAAATTACCCCACACAATGCCAGATTTTGAATTCTGGCTTTAAATTAATACTTTCAGAATGCAAGTAGAACTTATTTGTATGTGCAAAATCCATGTTTATCCATGCAAGCTAGTACATGCACGGAACAATCAAGTGGATTTCTAAATCATTTTTTTTTAAGTGATGCATTTTTTTCTCCTCTGTAAACAGA